GCGCTCCTTCTGCAATGACGAGGTTTTGCTCGAGACCCTTCAGGTGCACGCTGGAGACAGCGGAGAACACTTGATCAAAAGCTTGAGGCAGCCTGCTCACAAGGCTGATGTCTTCAGATACGTCTACCACTATTTTCATGGTGGCCTGTACCTTGATATCAAGATGGCGCTGAGAATGCCCTTCGATCAAATTTTAGGGCTCATCGCTTCAGAATGGGACAATGTCCAAGTTCGCAAAAGCAAAGAGCTGGGGCAATGCCCAAATGGAGTGGAGGGGGTTCTGCCCAAGGAGTACATGATCATGGGCATTGGGGTCAAAAATGACCACATTTTCCAGGGCATCATCTATGGACAACCGCGCCATCCCCTCATGCTCTGCGCTATCAATCACGCTTTCAGCAGGCAAATACTTGCCTCGGTCGCCAACCTGGACTACATGATCTTCTGCAAGGAACTTTGGAAGCTCCTCACGCACGACATGGGCCACACCCCAGTGCCAGGATGGAACCAGACCCGACAGTTCGGACCGGTGTATTTGCTCCGCGAGCGACATTCAACTCAGCTCACCAAGTCCAAAGAGCTTGAGTCTGATGGTCACTACTTTGAGACCCGCGGTCAGGTTCGAGTAGCATTCACCCGCTGCTGGAGCTGGCGAAAAGGCTTCAAGGGCGACCCCAGGGCAGCTCAAAGAAATGAAAACTCTCTCATGCAGAGCGTGCCCCAAATCGTCTCGGAGGTCATTGAAGCCGGTGGCGCTGCCTCTGCAGCACCCCATCCAGCACGAGCGGGAGCAATGCTCACCAATGCAGGCGTCAGAGTTGTCGGCGAGACCGTGCTCAGCAGCCTCGAACGGGGTGATTTCGACGCGATCATGGCGGCGGTCGAAAAGGAGCCGCAGTACCACGGCATTTCGGCCGAGGCTGTCCTTCGCAACATCCCCCGAGGCCTCTGCCTTCACCCTGAAGATCCTGACTGGCTTTCCTGCCGCTACTGCGAGCGAGGCGGCCGACGCTTGAAGTTCCCAAATGAGTTGGGAGTCACACACCACTTCATGCAATCCCGGCACGACCGATCAGTGCCCGAGCCACCAGGCCCCCCGCCTCGCAACAGTATGTGGTCGCAGCGCCCGGCCGAGCCTGCAAACCCTCCCTCAGCTGCAGCCATTGCAGCGTCAGGCCAGGCTCCGCCACCACCAGAACCCACGGCGGACCGTCCGCCCCAGTGGAGACCCACAGCGTCGGTGTCTAAGGCACGCTTTGGGCTCGGTCTCCCTCCCATTCCGCCAGGTCCTACCCCACAAGCGCAGGGCCACCGGCCTCTTGCAGCGAAAGAAGAACAGGGGGTCAATGACCAACCGGCGGACATCAAGGATGAGACACATGTCACTGCTGATCCCACGTTGGGATGGGCGGAAGACACTGTGGGCACGCCAGACACTCCGATGCTGCCGGTGGGCACACCGCAGTCACACAAGTCTGCTGGCCCTGGCCAGACAAGCGATCGGCCTTTCAACGCATTCTCAACCCAGAATGTGACTCCGACAGCTGCCCCCACCGAGGAGACCGTCCCACAGACCCCAGGCCCGGCTGACACCACAGCCTCATCCCCTGTGGATGCCCCCTCTACGCGTGCAGAGGTCAAATACCAGGGACCGGTCACCACGACCAAGCTGGTGGAGTACAGTGTCAACCCCTCTCCAGAGCAAGAGGCAAATCAACTGCCAAAGAGAGATCAGATTATCCACATCTGCCAGTCTGACCAGATGCTGGAGTGGGTCCATGCCTTTGCGACCATTTCCATTATGAAGGAGCAGGCTATCGTGGGTGGCCTCACGGCCTCTGAGCAGGTCTACCTTTGGACCAATAGGTTTCGAGCACTGGGCAAGGTGCCATGGATCTTCGCCCCGATCAAGAAGGTCGCCACCGACAAGGATGCCAACTGGCTTGACATCACGCAAGCGCGGCTTATGGTCGGGGCCAATGGCCAATTCACACTATCCATTGGCCAAGATGATCGCTACACCGAGCTCAAGTCCACCACGACCTACTATGGCATAGTGCACGCCCTTTTTCAGAAAATGTGGGATCATCCGGACATGAGCGCATTGCTCGAAACGGATGACAACTTCGAGATCGTGGCCTCCACCTTCAAGTGCATCTATGACCAGTCCTCCAGGAAAAGTGGTGGTCAAAATCGCGCCATCTTCTACCAGCCTCGGGATGGACACGTTGTCCGCAAGCTCCGCATCGAACACAACAAGGGCGACACGCCCACATACCAATGGCATCGCCAACGCGAGCTACGTGAGCAGCGGGAACAGCGAGACAAGCGCTCTGGTGAAGAGACACAGTCTCACACAGACAAGCGCTACAGAGACGGCGATGCCTGGACCCGAGGAGGGTGGTGGAATCGTGGCTCGGACTCAGGGGCCAGTGACAGCCGCTCCTGGCACCAGTGAGCCCCAACTTTGATCACCGGTGCCAATGGCAACCTATACAGCGAAATGCGGAGGCCATGCCTGCACTTATACTTCTTTTCTTCCGGCATGTACTGACGGCCTTTCTGCTGATTGCCGCCGCTGTCAGAGAAAAACATGCCTCGCCTTCTGCCAGTCGCAGAACTGTGCCTCTGCAATTAGTGCTGCATAATCACTATCCTCGCTCAGGTACACACAACAATCTGAAGCTTGAAGCCTGGCCGCCTACCAACTTGCTTCGGCTGACCACTGCCAGTTAGCTTGAAGCCTGTAGGCCGCCAACACCCAAAGGTCTTCGACCAGGGCTGTTCAGCTATAGGGTCTGAGTCAGTTTCACACCATGTGAGTGCACCGCGGCAATCGCCCGCTATGTGCTGAGCCCGCTCGCACAGCGTTCAATTGAAAATAGCAGTAGCAGTAGTAGTAGTAGTAGTAGTAGTAGTAGTAGTAGTAGTAGTAGTAGGAAGACTACAATAGTACTAGTAGTAGTATCGATAATAATATGCGGTCTGCCTCCCTTGCTTGAGACGCGGCTGTTGCGCTGTGAAGTCCGGAAGACCTCACAGATCGGCGGCTTGCAGGTGGATCAGCCTCCAGGCAGAAAATTTCGGAACTGGCATACATGTATGCATATATATATAGATAGATACATACATGCATATGCATGTCTGAAGTATGTAAAGGTATATGTACTTGTTTGTTTGATTGGACTTATTTATCTAAAAAAAAGAGAAATAGAAATAGAGATTGAACGGAAATATTCATGAAAGTATGCGTATGTCAATATGTATATATATATATATATACACATGTATACATTAGTATTAGTATTTGTTTCTGCTTTTATCTATCTACCTATCTATAAGTATTACTGTTGGTGGTAGTATGAGTACTAATAATGCCATGGCTATTTTTGTGCTTACTACTGTTATTGTTGCTCTTAGTATGCTTATTGATGTTGTTATGACCATTGCTGTTAGTACTGCTGCCATTGACATTATTGTTATACTTGTTGCTACGATTATGACTGTCATTATTGTTCGGCGGTTCTTCTTATTCACATGAGTGTTAGTCTGATGTTGTTGCTACCATTACTAATCTTCTTCATTGTCCGCATGTATACCTGCATGTCTGTATGTATGCAAGTATGCATTCATACATGAAGGCCTGTACGCATGTATGCATGTATGATGTATATGTGTATGTGTACTCTTCTGTGTTTGCGTACGTGTAGGTGTACGCCTTTGTGTACGTGTAGGTGTAGCTGCAGGTGTCTGTGCGTGTGTATGTATATGTGTATATGTAAGTGTGTATACAAAAATACATATATAGTCGATGTGTGTAATTGTGTTTATGTGTGTACTTTTCTATTCAAGCACACGTATACATATATCTTCAAACACATATACACATATATCATGATGGTCTCCCTATTCCGGACCAGATGATGGTGCTTGTAGCCCCAACGCGGAAGTCTTGGACGTGGACGACTGTTTTCGCAGCGGTGGGGCCCGTCGGGGCAGGAGGGCTGGAAGCTCTCCTCCGCGGTATATGACAGGCTTCACCCTCTCTGTAGCGATGAATTCTCGCTTCCTTGACAAACGTGTCTCAGAGCTTCGGGCACTATGCCAGAGCCTGCACTCACACAGATAAACACGAACAAAAGGTTAGTGTCGCGCAAACCCACCCCCGATGGCATATCCGACTAAAGCTTGAAGAGCTAATGCTCCGCGCCACGTGACATTGAAAGCTGTTCGTTGAAATGACTACCGTCGTGTGCTGTTTCGGACAATACGAGGATGCCAGGCAGTTGTCACAGGATCAACATCGGCTCCTCGGTAGCTGCGTGCCTTGGTCATCGTTGAAAAAATCTGGATGACGCTTGATGCGACGGACGATGCAAAAAACAACGAGGTTCAAGAAAAGCAGACCTTCTCCGCCAAGCTTGCAACTGAACAGCGAAGGCACACCGCAAGAGAAGCTAAGCAACCAGGCGTGGTGATCGGAAGCGGCTTTCTGGCTTTGCCTTGAAGCACGAGCGGATTATGAGGGTCACTGCAATTTTCAGAGGGCTCGCACAGTCCAGGGTGATGCAGAAACGCTGAGGGTGCCACTGCTTCAGAAGCCATCTGCAAGGGTGCAGGCACTGCAAGCAAATGCTCATGTCCCCATACTATCGGACACACACCTCTAGGCACAGAGACCAAGAGCATTTAGTGAAGTAGAGCATGCCTGAGAAAGCTATACTGCAAACCTGAAGCATCGATCTCAACGACTGCTGAAGCCCTGACCTTGGCCGCGGCGGCTCGCGCTTTGGCGAAACCCGGCTTCGGTAGGACCTGGCATGCAGGTGTGCCAAAGAGAATAGCCCTGGATGGAAAGCCGGCTGAAGCAGGGGACGAGCTCCACAGCTCCACCCTTCCTTTTCAGGCTTTGCTGATGTGTGCCTGCGCCTTAACTGGAACAGCCAAGGGCTCGCCTCTACACGTCTTGTGCGGAAAGAGGGCAGCTGGTGAGAGCAGCCTTAATGCGTTTCGTCCTTGGTCACCTCCCCGGCACGTCTCCACATGTCTGTAGCCCGAATGAACTCTTCCTGTGCTTGTCTTACTTCGGCGATCTTCGACTTCATGGCCTCCTCTTGAAAAGGCCCTGCATCAGGTGCCAGTGCTGGTTCGAAGTCCATTCCGTGTCGGACGTGGTCCACTTCTCCAGCTCGCTCCCAAGACTCAAGGGCCTTGCCCCAAGCAGCTTTCGAGATCTTGTCATCTCCAGGCTCGTTGTTGAATCGATCCCCCGGCTGCTCCTCAGGCTTGGCAGCCGGTCGTGTCTGCATCATCGCGCATTCCTCACCCTGCGCAGCCTGCGTCCTGCCTTGCTCGAAGGCCAGCGCCAGCACCAGAAGTCCGATCCAGGGAGGCATGGCTGTGGCGACCACAGAAGGGTCGGAACGTGGCACAGTTTGGCAAGCTTTCAGGGCCAAGAAGAACCGAAGACGAACATCTAACAGGGGATGAGACGTGCAGTTGCATCTTGAACTTAACTGAACATGACCAACGTGCATCATCGGCTCTCCATCATGCGCACTTAGCACAAAACCTCTTCTGTCAAATCAGCTTCTGCCGCGTCTCTATGATTTGTTCCCAAAGCCAATACTTCCCTAAACCCTAAACCCGAAGCCCTAAACCCTAAACCCGAAGCCCTAAACCCGAAACCCTAAACCCAAAGCCCTATATCCTAAACCCTAAACCCAACACATGGCTACTTTCCCAACGGGGGACCTTGGCCTTCGGCTTCGCAGCTGCTGCGTCCTTGCTGAATGCAACTCTTATATTATGCCGTTTTATCTTGTACTTAATGATATTACCTTGTGTTTTTGCTTGGCTTCAATATATATATATATATATATATATGTAACATTGCACTGATATATATATATATATATATATATTATGAGCAATGACAGCATGAACACAGAATCAGCCAAGAGCAAGATGAAGAACCAGCCCAACATCTGACACAAGAGAACTTTGCAGTCACAGACTCGGGACCCCACCAGATCGCAGATGACACCATTGCTCCTGCACTGCCAAGGTGTAATATAACTATAACCTAAGAGAACATAATAGAAGGATACTATAATATGGGGTTCGAATATATGATTTGCTATGATATACCATATTATAGTAGAATATACAACCATCCTATATAAGCGAATATAATCAACTCTCTCAACACCTTCGTCGACTCATGGGATTGTGGCCGCACCTGGAGCGAAGAGCGTCAGCGGACCCCATGCTTGGACCCCGACCTCGAACTGCAGACACATGAGATAAAGCCCACACCGGCACCTCTTTGCATCAACCAACCCCACATATTACGTAATATCAAATAATATAATGAAATGTATTGTACTGTGATATGGCATATGATATGATACAATACACTGTTCTGTAATACTCAATAACATCTCCACGACATGATATAAGGCAATACAGTAGAACATGCTGCTCTGTACAACTACTGCAGGCTGCTGCCACACAGAATCACCGTTTGTCACATGCGCATTTGCTACGGAGCTTTACGATGGGGCACTGGCCTCTGGGTTCGTGACAACGAAACCGGAAGTGCACATGACCTCTAAGTGTGCCACATCTGCGGCGCGATGCCACTGACGTCTGGATGGTCTGATGCTTCAAAAAAACTATCCTATCTTACCTTGGAAACATGACTCGCAGTCTTATCGAAACTAATATTCGGTATCTGTTACTCGAACTTCTGGTCGCCAATAGACGCAATGCTGAAACATTTGCATCGAGTCGGCATCCGTACCTGAAGCTATGCAGATTCGACATGCTGCGAAGCACAAAAGAACACAATACCGGCCAAGATTCAAACAGTGGCATGGGGCTTTTAGACTTGACATGGTGTGCTGCATAAAACAGAGACACTCGCCAGTGACAAAAAGCAAGCTATGGCAAACGCCAAGTACCCCTTCTTGTTTGAGCTTGGCTGCACAGATAAAGTCGCAAACGGCTGTTTTTGTATCAAATGTGCAACTGCAACGAAGCAGCGTCATTACGAATCATGCTGACACTTGATAGGCAATCTTCACCAGGTCCGGTTTCCACAGCTGGCAAATCCAAAACGGTGTGGCTGCAGGCAAAAACACTTCAAAACTCCCAATCTTACTTTCCACGACGATGTTCCTGCAAGCTTGCGGTTCGGCAGCTAACCGCCTACATACAAGCCGATGTAGGATGGCCATGCAAGAGGCTTTCTTGCGGGAATGCGGCCTTTGGAGCTACAGCAAACGATCCGCCGAGAAGCATCAAACTGTCGATGCACTCAGCACTGCCCAAACACCCCGAAGGACCTCAGCGAGCTAGCGATACGTCCCCGTCCCATGTTTTCTCCAAGCAGGAATGACAATGGAGACTGTCTCTTGTGCCTGTGTCGGTCGGAAAAAACAACTCCCGGACTATCAATCAAATGGCTTTCGAAGGCTCTTGTAGAAATCTCAGAAGCTATATTGTCAAACCAGTGCGTCTGTCTTTCTGTCTGCCCGTCCGTCCAAAACTGCCTCATCCTGCAACGCAGCGTCAAAGGGAATACCACCATGTAAATCTGACACACACACACACACACGCACACACTCCCTCCAGGTCAATTGCCATTCCAACAAATTAATGCCCGTGCTCTACTAAAGATCACAATGCTGGCATGCAGTAAGCACACACCTTTTTTCCAGACGTGGGGCGGCACAAGCCAGTGTGGTCCAACAGACCGACAGCTGTAGAACACAGCTGCAGATCCGTCACAAACTCAGGCGGTGACAGAATGCAGCGTTACAGCGGCAGAACAGAATGCCGACAGGTGCAGCTGCCAGACACAGGCCAGCGGCTTCACAGCCCCGCAGCTTCAAAGAAGTGTCACTACACGCAGGCAAGTGCACAGGTTTTGCAGGTACGACAAAAACGGCTATCACCCGCGTCAGTGGCAGAGGCAACCTCGAAGGAGTCAGACAGAAGGCGTCCACAAAGGAGACGGCCTGTCTTCTGTTTAACGATGTGCAGGAGCTTGTTCTTCTTGTTGCCAGCAACGGCATACCCCCCAAGACCAAGGATGTTCTCCACAAAGTGGGGAGCTGCAGCCACAAGTTGATCAGCACAGTCATCACTGTCACAGGAAGCTTCAGAGGAGCCACTAGAGCTGCTGGTAACAGCAGCCGCAGCAGCAGAGGCCGCAGCAGCAGCCACGTTGCGCTCAGCACTGCTGGGCGGTGACGAGACGAGCGAAGCAGAAGCTGAGCTAACAGGACTGCCCGGTTCCTGCCAGCGACCACTACGAGTGACGTCAGGAGCGAACTTGCCAGACTTCACCGAGGAAACAACCTGCCACAGCTCCCGTAAAGGACCAGCAAGAGCATCTCTGCGGTACCCAACGTTCGCCATGTTCACACCGTGGCTGTGGTAGCCCAGAAAAGTCAGTGTCTTGTCGGACAAGCCAGCCTTGGAACACCAACTCAACAGAGTGGCCTTGCAGCTGTGGCTCCGTACGCCAGCGATGGCCGCCAGATCAGCATCAGGGGCCTTCGCCAAGATGCAGCGGAGCCACTGTGTAAGCTGACTGCTGCTGACACACTCTTGCAGCCACAAACCAGCAGCAGTGAGTCCAGGAAGCAGAGGGTGGTCCAGGGCACCATTGGACTCCAGGTGGCTGGCCTCGCGAACAGCGAGGAAAGTGGCGCCCCAGGGCACCTCAGACAAGCCACAGAACAGAGCAGTCAGCGGCATGAACAAATTCCTCCTGCTGGAAGCTCGCGCTTGCTTCGGGTTCTTCACTCTGCACTCGACAAAGCCGTCCAAACCATCCGGGCAGAGGTCAAACTCGATGTGGGTGGCCCGCGCAATATCACTGCGCCTAGCCCGAGCAAACACCATGAAGCACAGCGTTGAAGCCACCAGTCTCTCGTACAGGTCGTCAGCAGTGGCAGCGTAGTACTCCAGCCACCTGAGTTGAGCAACGGTCAGAGCAGGTGCTTGTGCCACTTCCTCCTTAGTGCGCAAGTGCGCGTGCGCAAGGCCACGCACACGAGCAGAGAGCAGCTCCTGCACAGACACACGTAGTCCCAAAGTGCCGTGAACAAAGTTGAGACTGCTCACGAAAGAGTCGATGCTGGAAGCAGCTGCAACACCTTGCAGCCAGCGGCAGTGAAGCCAAACAACGCTCTCAGAGATCATGTCCTCGGGACACGTGCGGCGCCTCCACAGCACAAACCTGGTAAGAGGCGATGCTCTGGTCAACAGCGTGTTAGTGCTCTTCTTGCTGAACAGAACATCAAGGTGCTCCACCACAGACTCGTCACCTTCAGCAGGTAACCTCTCCACAGTAGCCAGACAGAAGAACTCAGGCGCCAGCTTCAGCAGGTTAGACCACTTACAAAGTGCCTGCACACGCTTTGTGCGCTCCTCCTGCGAACTCCAACCGAACCCTCTTGCTGAGCCAGGCGCACGGAACGACTTCGGCAACGAAGCCACCGAGGAGCTCGCAGGAAGAGCAGCAGAAACACCAGAACACTGTTTTGGTACAGGTACAGGCAGAGGGGCTCGCAGAAGTTCCTCAAGAGACCGGCTCAAAGCAGAAGCTTGCGTGCCAAGAAAAGAGAAGGTGCCAGACTCCCAGGGCAGGCTGAGGCGAGAAGACCTCGCCCGCACAGGGCCAAAGCCCATGCCATGGGCCCAGAAGGGATCAGTGTCCTGCCTCATAGGGATGGGAGGGCGGGCAACAGAAAAACAGCACTTAAGCCAAAATGGCCGCACGATGCATTAAAGTCGCATGTCAAGACATAGCAAACTTAATGCCCGTGCTCTACTAAAGATCACAATGCTGGCATGCAGTAAGCACACACCTTTTTTCCAGACGTGGGGCGGCACAAGCCAGTGTGGTCCAACAGACCGACAGCTGTAGAACACAGCTGCAGATCCGTCACAAACTCAGGCGGTGACAGAATGCAGCGTTACAGCGGCAGAACAGAATGCCGACAGGTGCAGCTGCCAGACACAGGCCAGCGGCTTCACAGCCCCAGAACCTTTAACGGCCGCTGGCCAAGGAGACCAAAGCCCCCACGTCAACTTTCACTTCCTTGGCCTTAGAAAGAAAAGCTGGGCACAAGCCACGGCTGGGACCGTCAGCCGGATTACTGTGCGATGGCACGCGGCAGACCCACAGCTGGATGCCGAGAGAAGCTTCTGAGCGCAGCATGCGCTCGAGAATACACATCGCACTGTCCGGCCTGACAAAACCATTAATAACCCCAAACCTAACGACTTCATTGTCGACCCAGGCACAGGTGTTGGAATCGCGCAGCTCAAGACTCCAACACAAAACTGATGCAGCAACAGCAAGCAGCTCAGCCTGTATGATGGGGTGCTCTGAGTCATTGGCAAGCCAGCACGCAGTGACAGAGTCAGGTACTTCACACCCGAACCAGCTGAGGGGCTGACACCAGCCGTCACAAAGGACTCCCCCAATGGAAGCAGTGCCGTTTTCAAAGGCCCCATCAGTGAACAGATGCAGCTTCTTGCGGCTGGCAAGTGACCAAACCTTGGGATCACCCTTCGGAATGTGGTCAAGGATCCACCTGATCGCCCACAACAGCTCAGGTTTCAACTCTCGCAAAGTGTGGGGCTTGCTGGCCCTTCCAGCAGACAGCAAGACACGAAGGGCAGAGCCGGCAGTGCGTCCAAAAACCTGTCCGGACAGCCAACGCACTCGGCTGGCAAACTGCTCACACTCCTTGGGAGTTGCCTGGCCAGACCTAAGCTTCTCAAGGCACCAAGCAGCAACCTCAGCTTTCCTTGCCTCAGTGTTGGAAACAGACAGGCTGCAGTCAACGCCAGGTGTCAGCAAGAACACGACACCAAGCGACTGGAAAGCCTGCGCGAAGGACACAGCCTTGTCGCCTTCCAGCGCCAGTCGCCAGCCAAGAATGCGAAACAGCATGTGCACAGAGGCCTCAGCGTTGACAGCGTCAGATTCCAACACAATACAGGTGTAGTCATCAAAAAACATGGTTGCAGGCACCAGCGCTAGGCGACACAAAATGCGCCACAGCGCCAAAGAAACTCGAACAAAGCCCGGAACACTACCCCCAGCACCGAAAGGAAGTGCAAACATTTGCAGCACCCGGACGGCGTGGTCCGCAGGTGACCACACTGTCACAGCAGCGTAAGGCAGGTCATCAAGGTGAATCGGCAGCTGCCGATAAGCACTCTTCAGGTCAAAGCATCGACCTAAGAGGCGCATGCCGCGGGCTTTGGCGATCCTGAGCAGACGTAAGCCAAGTGCGACTGTGTGCGCAGTCGACATGGTGGTCACCTTCTCGCAAGTGCCAAGGGTATCATTCAGCCCATTGAAGCTGAAGTCGTCCACACCCCTGACCTTATCACCCTGGACCACTGCAAACCTGCGGCTCAGCAGAACATCAGCAGGTGGCCCAGCAGAGGGCGGCAACAGCATGGCCCAACCACTGGAAGCGTCCTTAACAGTAGTGTCCCACAACGAGCGGTCGAGCTCAGGAGACGCTGTGGAAGTGGTCTGAGACCATGCCTTAGCGTTCAGATCAAAGCGTTGCCGCCAGAGGTTCGCAGCAGACTCAGAGGGCGCAGTGATCTTCGGCTCCATGACGCCACTAGGAGCGAGCCAGCCCGTGAGCTTAAACCCTGAACAGATGTCAGACACCAGCCGGGTATCCTCATGCCCGAGGCTGGACAGCAGCTCCTCCAGCAGCAGAAGGCGTTTGCCGCGCAACACAGCCTTAGCATGCGGTGCCAAACCTGAATGCAAGGAAGCTTCACGCTGTGACAACTCATGCGACCTCTGGAGGATGCTGTGCAGGAAACGGCACCTGCGACGCGCCAACTCTGCACAACTCATGCGCGACACAGCTGACAGCGTCTCCTCCAGGTCAGCAGGCAACTCTACATCGCACTCAGAAGGATGCCGAAACGAGGCAGCAGACTGCATGAAGGCCTCAGGCTCGCACGGAACACCAACCTCAACAAGCCAAGACGAGGTTTCCTTCACACAGGAAAGAACCTTACAACCTTTGGGAGCACCCGCGATCTGTGCAACAGAACCAGGCACCAACAAGTGCACAGCAGTGCTCAGCGGCAGCCTCAGCGCAACCTTATCACTAAAGGGATTACGCAGCTCACCGGGATGCCGACCCCTGGGGAAAAGGCCAAGTGCCCGTCTCGTCTCAAAAAGGCGTGCGGGCCCCGACCAGTTGACAGCAGACGGTGCCAGGCGCGCCGACAACTCAGATTCCCAGTGCTTCTGAAGAAGATGTGCCCAGAATCGGCACAGAGGCAAAGGATAGGCAGCCTCAGCCTTGGTGCTCCAGGTGCCATCAGGCAGCCTGCCCCAGGGTTTGTGCGAGTGCCCCAATGACGGAGAGCACAGAGCCTCAAGTGAACTCAGGCAGCCTAAGTTGCTCCAAAGTGCCGTACGTTTGGGCCTGTCACCTCCCCAGCAGCAGTGGTCGAAGACCACGGTGCACAAGTCACTGCCAAGTTGCTTGCAAAGTGCTACCATTGGGGAGGTAAGCCAGAACAGGCTTGAAGACGGGTTTTCAATGCTCCAGCCAATCTGCCTACTATGGCAGAACAGGGCAACATCCCTGCACAGTCCATACAGCCGATTCGCGTTATGAACCTGGAACCTCTGAGAGAAACTGAGCCCAGCCAGACCATCAGGGTGTGCAGCATCACGCAAAGGCCGTGGCCCACCTGGAATGAAACGGGCAGCAGAGGCAGTGCTACACGGCGGCGCCATGTGCACATACAGCACCTGACCGGAATTGAGGATGTCCCACAACACTGCTAAGCCAGAGGCAGACAACAGATCGAGTTTCAAAACTTGGTGCACGGCAGCGTCCTTCACATCAACAGCAACGGTCTCGAAACCTGATGCCTTCAAGCACTTGCTGAGCCTGCAAGACCCAGCAAAAATCTCCACAGCAACACAGGCACGAGCCGTGCCAACATCAGGACGACTGGCCCCAGCAGGCCCCGGCAGGAATGCAGAAAAATCCTTAACGCTGCCAGGAGAAACAGCAACAGAGTGGTCCGCTGCAGCATCCAGTGGCTGAGCGACCGTCGCAGCAGCATCGGAAAAATTCAAAACAGGAGAAACGGTGGCCGAAGCAGGTGCAACAGTGGCAGCACCAGCTGCTGGCTCCGCAACAGCAGCGACAGAAGCAGTACCGACAGAAGCAGTGCACTGAGGTGTCGGCCCGGCCCTTTCAAAGGGAGAAGCAGAAGTCGGCGCCTCCAGGAGACAATCCACAGAGGGAGCAGCGACCTCGGCAGCAGAGCCGGATCGACCTCCGGCACAAGCAGTCAGTTGCTGCATGCATGAGCTCCATGGTCAGGGCTGCCACACTTCATACACAAGTGCAACCCTTTCTCACACTGCAACCCGGCGGGAGTCTGCCAGGTCTCGCGCTTGCAACCATGGGCCAAATTGCGATCAAAGCACAAAGGAGTGCCATCCTTGTTAGGGTCCAAACCCTTCAGGGCAGCAGGAACCGCAGTCTGCTTGGAAGGTGACCCGGCTTTGCCACCGGTGGATTGCTTTCCACCTTTGCCCCTGCCCCCTTTGTCCTTGCCCTTGCCAGGACCCTTGTCCTTGCCGCCGTCGCCTTTCCCAGTCTTGCCTGGTGGCGTCTTGCCATCATCAAGTGCCCGTTTCTTCTCCCGGGGCATGACATGAAAAGCAACAGCAGGAGTCCCAGCGGCAGCAAGCAGGGCAACGTCAACCTTAGTGGCAGCATCCACAGTGGGCAGGCAAGGCACCTGAGCCGCAACGTGCTGCCAGACGGCACGATCAGCAGCCAAAACAGAATCAATGCCAGGAGCAGAGTACCCAGCAGGGGGCAGGCGTTGCAGGTGATCAAGAAGACCACGCACGTAGTTCTCATGCACAGCAAAAGAACAGACACCAGCAACCTCCAGGGCAACACCGCGTCGGCTCAGTGCCTGATACAACCTGAGTTCATTGCCAAGGTCAACCTTAGGCAGAACAGGCTTCTTGGCAGCTTTCAGGGCAGTGGCCTCAAGGCGGAACAAGGTGTCGTCACGCCGTTCTGAAAGGATTTCCTGTTCCCGAGAGCTGCACTTGCTGGGCGGCAAGTACCGCACAGAACTATCAGCGACCATCCCGAAAGCGGCATCAATCAGAACGTGGCTCGGCTCAAAAGAGCCAGTGATAGGCCACGCTCCTAATTTGGCACGCAATGCATCCATGCGGCTGGCTCTTTCCTGAGAGGTGAGTTTCTTGGAGCCATCGTCCTCGCCGGCCACCGAACTCCTAAGCTCGGCGACCACGAAGGTCCCGGCTTCAAAGAGGAGTCGCGAAAAAGCCGCAACGACACCTTCAGAAGCACCAGCGCCCAGATGCTTATCCTTGGCCGCCTTAAGCCTGGCCTCGTCCACTGCCCCGGGCGCACTCGCCACGGCAAAAAGCAGAGCAGAGTAAGTCTTGATGCCAGCCGCAGACAAACTGTCAATCACATCCTGGCTCAACCCGTATTGCCTAGCTTTGCTAGCGAACGTCACGGCACTGTCCGCGACACTCGCCATCAGTGCAGGCGCCAGCCCCAGTCAGAGGCAGGCTCAGCAGATCAGATCCAGAGCCAGAGGCCTCGAGCAGCAATGCCCAGGATGGCCCAGAAGCCTGCACAAGCAGACCACGAAAAGCTTTAAAGCACAGGCACAAGCCCAGCCCCACCTGGCACAGGAGGCAGGGCCTGCCACAGACAAAGTGAAATCCCAACAAAAAGGCACAAGCCTGGGGCAGCCGCCAGAGGCAGAAGTCAATACAGGCCACAGCCCGACAGCCTGCCATTGGAAAAAGCAAGAGGCGCACACAAGTGCACCCACCGACCTCGCAGTGCAAAGGCGCCAAGGAAGGAGCAACGCCCCCAGAGCGGCCTCAGGAGGCACCGTGGCAGGCTCACGACAAAAGGCACAAGCCACCGGGGCACAAGCCCGCAAAGCCACAGCCTGCCACATACATTGCATGGTTTCTTTTAAGAGAAGAAGCGTTGCAGCACAACGGCCTCAAGGCCCAAGGCCACAGGACCCCACCCCCAGGCCCCAAGGCCCAGAGCCAGAAAAGCTGCAGCAAATGCAGTCAAAGGGCCAGTGCCCAGGCAGCAGTCAGACACAAGACGACTACCAATGCCCGGCCAATTTTCACAGAGGGCAGCAGTGCAGGATCAGAGGTCACGACAGCGGTCGCAGAAGTGGCGCCTGTGTGGCCTCCGCGCCGAGTCTGAGACGGGGCGGCTGCAGGCATGGCCGCAGCCGCCCCAGCAGGCTGTGATACAATAGCCTGTGAGGCTGTGTCCGTGTCTCTGCAGATCCGCAGGAAGATCACGGAGCGGGTACCTCAGAGGGAAGCAGCGCAGCGGGTCCACAGGCAACCCGGCGCGGATGTCAGATGCAAGGACGTAATGGCAGTTCGCCGTCCCAGTCATCCTAACACGGGCGACCGCCGGACCATCAGCTCCAGCAGTCGCGGGCCCCGTTAAGGTGAGACCCTGATACCCAGCCCAGGGATCAGAAGCAGAAGTCGCAGAGCTCACAGGAAGAAGGGGCGGCGGAGCCACCGTAGGAGTCGCAAAATCAGGAGCCCCAACGACCAAGCCTGGCGAAGCCAAAGGCGGATCGGCCACGTAGGTGACCTCAGGTGGCTCAGGCCCAGGGGTCACGACCGCAACCGCAGCATCACCGTCCATGGTGTTGAGATCCACCACGGCCGGGGGCCAGTTCCACGGTGGCACATCCTCGGCATCAGATGGCGGAGTGTCAGACCCAGCCAAAGGCACCCCAGCAGCGTCAGGAGCAGCACCAGGGTCCTCAGGCGATCCAGCAGGGCTGGCGGGAATGAGCTCAGGTGAGGACACATTCTCAGACTCACCAGGCCGCGCCAGAGGGCCACCCTCACCAGCCTCCGTGCCAGCAGGTGTGCCAGCCGAGCCCGCGAAAGAGTCAGCCACAGTGCCATCTCCTGCCACAGTGGAAGCCACAGCCTGCGAGTCAGGGTGGACAGAGGCAGAGGTACTCTCAGCGGTCAGGTCCAGCAGATCAGGAGCAAGACCCAGCAGATCAGCATGAAGCCCACCAGGCTGAACCTCAGAGGCACCAGCTGCCGGACACGGCGGCAAATCGTACTCACTGGAGCCCTCTGTGTCATGTTCCACATGGCTCAGCTGGATGTTGTCCCGGCAGAAGTAGTAAAGCCTCAGTGCTTCAGCGGCAGGCATGGCCGCAAGTGCTGCAGAGAGGTGCTCGTCGCTGGAGCGGGCCGCAGCCCTGAGTCGGCGAACAAGCACACGAAGAGGGTCCACCGACATGATCGACAACAGACCCAACAGACAGGCAGCACCAACAGAACACAACAGAAAAACAGCACTTAAGCCAAAATGGCCGCACGATGCATTAAAGTCGCATGTCAAGACATAGCAAACCTAGCTAGAATGCCGAATCAGTGTGGCTTTGCCACCCGAAATCCTGCAGCGTGCCTCCCGACCCCGAATATTATGCAACACTCAAAGATCGGATCTCGATTCATTTTTTCTTGCAGCGCGGCGTGCGCAAGCCCAGCGATATCTGTCGTGAAGACAAGCACCCTTCTGCGTGCATCGTCGCACCAACTCGGCGCTCCCGGCATCTCTGATGTCGAGATTTCAACAACCCCCAGCAAGGACTTCCACAGTAGGAAACAGCGACCAGTACGGGGTGGCGGTCGTGGGCTTTTAGGCTGAAAAGCCAGCGTTTGGAGCTTGGCGTAGCAATGTGAAAGGAAATGTGAGCCGACCGTTGAATGTAGCTTTGCCGAACTGTGTCCCAAGCTGGATCACTGCTCACCGAACATGTAAGGATCTCGGCGCCTAAGACGAAGGCCGCATCAGCCCCGATCAAGTACTCTGAGCCTTCACCGCTAGCTGCTCTGGATCTCAGAGCAAAGGCAAGTAGCAGCGGCATCGTGAGAGGCGGTAAAAGGGGGATCCCTCTGTCTCACAGCATCAACGATGCAGGAGACACTACTGAGCTGATCTCACACGAATGCCGATTGACCGCCGCAGATGCAAGGATGCAGCGAGGTCAGAGACTGCGTTATGCACGTGCAGTTCTGCAGCCTGTCGCAGCTGAGGCATGAATAGTTTCACAAGTAGACACAGGCAGCCCTGCTGTCCGTGGCCATAAGACCACAAGCCTAAGTAAACCTCTGCATTCACGCAGCATGGAAACTGCCAAGACTGGGTAACCGCATGTGCAGCTAACTCAGAAGACCACAAGCTTTGCTCGCACACGGCAAACGAACCACCAGCCGGTCAGCCTTCACGTCAAGGGGAGTCTACTACAAGGCTACCATCCTCTGCTGAGAACTTGAAGAATGCTTTCGAAACTTGCCCACACCCTTGCAAACCTTCTTACCGACTCTCTCCTCAGGGCGATGAGCATCCGCTGGAACTCAAGCAAAATCCGCTTGACCTTTTCAAACTCTAAACGTCCCTACAAAACCTAGAAAAGACTTAGATTTTAAAGCCCTGCAAATTCCCAGATCAGCTCACACGCCCCGGCCTATCGGGCCTTGCCACAGTATTCCGCTGATGTTCGGCGGCAGTTGTTCGTAGCCTCTAGGTTTTTGAAGCTACGCAGGAGGTCCGCGATGGCATCGCGGCTTGCCCCTTCCGGCTTCCAGTGCAAAACTGCTCCTGCCATCCTTTTGGCCTCAGCTCTTGCGCCGATACGATGAAGACTTACCCTACGTGGACTCGGAAGCCTTTCACACATCTATTCTGCTCGTGGCCTGAATCCCAGCAAGGCAAACTTTGGCAAATGCCATCAAACGGCTCCGACAAGCCCGTCGCCAACCGAGCTTAGTGCCCAAGTAAGTGGACAATGGCAGCGAGTTGCCAACCGGGAACGGCACGTTCGGAGACACCCGCCCTGTTGAAACTCAACTACTCAACTTGGCATAGACCTTCCGGGGCATGCGACAACGCGGACTAGCCGGCACCAGGCTGTGAGACATCCGCCCTAAAGATCTATAGCTTTCAGCACGTGAGCCTCTGGACCTTGATTGCATGATTGGTCGCAGAGATCGATAGCGATGGTCTCGTGCTGACTCGTCTGCACATCTTCGGAATCCTGAACACAGCAGATGATGCGTGGTTTCTTTGCAACCACGTATAAAGCCTCTGACATCCCACTTTACTGCAGCTGGAGGTTCTCAAGACGTGCTCTTGCTCGTTACCCAGGTGCACTGCTTGCGAGACAGACTTGGTGCTGACTCAATCTTGACGCGGCGGATGCAAGCATTGCTGCCGGCCGCTTGCTTGCTGGGGCTTCAACCCAGCCTATAACGGCAAACACTCGAAGGAGAAACTAGCACCAACGCCGTCAAACGGCTCCGACAAGCCCGTCGCCAACCGAGCTTAGTGCGCAAGTAAGTGGACAATGGCAGCGAGTTGCCAACCGGGAACGGCACGTTCGGAGACACCCGCCCTGTTCAAACTCAACTACTCAACTTGGCATAGACCTTCCGGGGCATGCGACAACGCGGACTAGCCGGCACCAGGCTGTCAGACATCCGCCCTTAAGATCTATAGCTTTCAGCACGTGAGCCTCTGGACCTTGATTGCATGATTGGTCGCAGAGATCGATAGCGATGGTCTCGTGCTGACTCGTCTGCACATCTTCGGAATCCTGAACACAGCAGATGATGCGTGGTTTCTTTGCAACCACGTATAAAGCCTCTGACATCCCACTTTACTGCAGCTGGAGGTTCTCAAGACGTGCTCTTGCTCGTTACCCAGGTGCACTGCTTGCGAGACAGACTTGGTGCTGACTCAATCTTGACGCGGCGGATGCAAGCATTGCTGCCGGCCGCTTGCTTGCTGGGGCTTCAACCCAGCCTATAACAGCAAACACTCGAAGGAGAAACTAGCACCAACGCCGTCAAACGGCTCCGACAAGCCCGTCGCCAACCGAGCTTAGTGCCCAAGTAAGTGGACAATGGCAGCGAGTTGCCATCCAGGAACGGCACGTTCGGAGACACCCACCATGTTCAAACTCAACTACTCAACTTGGCATAGACCTTCTGGGGCATGCGACAACGCGGACTAGCCGGCACCAGGCTGTGAGACATCCGCCCTTAAGATCTATAGCTTTCAACACGTGAGCCTCTGGACCTTGATTGCATGATTAGTCGCAGAGATCGATAGCAATGGTCTCGTGCTGACTCGTCTGCACATCTTCGGAATCCTGAACACAGCAGATGATGCGTGGTTTCTTTGCAACCACGTATAAAGCCTCTGACATCCCACTTTACTGCAGCTGGAGGTTCTCAAGACGTGCTCTTGCTCGTTACCCAGGTGCACTGCTTGCGAGACAGACTTGGTGCTGACTCAATCTTGACGCGGCGGATGCAAGCATTGCTGCCGGCCGCTTGCTTGCTGGGGCTTCAACCCAGCCTATAACAGCAAACACTCGAAGGAGAAACTAGCACCAACGCCGTCAAACGGCTCCGACAAGCCCGTCGCCAACCGAGCTTAGTGAGCAAGTAAGTG